ATACAGGAGCGACTAGTTTCGGCCTTACAGGAATATCTTCAGGCCTGTAATACAATAATATTTAATTATAATAATAGGTTGGTCACTTACGAATAACATTAAATAGTATAAACCACAAAAATGGATCCATATTGTAGCGTTACAGCATTATAGAATTAAAGCTGTGAAAATAAAAGAGCAGTGCAAACGTAACTAAAAATAAGAAAGCAGAGTACGGAATCTACAAGAGAAGAGGTGAGAATGAGCAATTACGAATGCATTTAAATTGCTCGAGATAACAAATAAAGCTGATAATGTAGTGGTATAGTCCCCGTCAAAGAAGGTCTGGATATGTTAAAGAGGACGGCGTTTTCTCTGTAAACCTGGAGAATGTAAGGATGGAGGGAAGACGAATCTTGCTGGCCCAGGTGTAGATGGCTAGAAAAAGGAGCGTGTAGATGAAAGCTCCAGTAATTATTGTCACTTTCGTCTAATTTTTTATTCTCACTCACCGTTTCGGCTTTATCTTCGAAATTCATTTTTAAAAGAAAATCAAAGTAATCATTCATACAAGCATATAATAAAACAACATGAATTCATTATATTTAATAAGCTAATAAACGTTTGTTTCAATGAAAAAAAATAAATAATATGCTTTAATATCAAAATCAATTTGAAAATACAACAGATAATAAAATGAAATAAATTAATACAAGTACAAATAGAACGTTAATAACATACCTTCTAAAAGTAACACATTTTAAGTAGATAAATGTTTAATCTAATCTAAGTTTTTCCCCTTTTTAATATTATGAGGGTTTTTGTAGTTGAAATGAAAATTATAATTTATTTTGGTCCTAATAAAAATTTAAACATAGGTTATCAAAGAGTTAAATACATAATAGAACTTCATAATCTTAAATCGTTATCAAAAATTATTAATGGTAAAACTTCAAACAATAATTAGATTCTTAAACAAATTTCTAGTTTTTGTTTTGCAAAAGACTTTTTTGCCTTCTTCGGTTGCCTCTGCCACTTTTCTTTTAGTAGTTTCGAGGAGAATTTTCCTATGGAAACCAGTAGAACCATCAATTGGTTGGTACAATTTTGATATTTTGGGTCTGGTAAGTCTTGTTAAACTTTTTTCTTAGGAAGCTGTAACCATATGGAGAATAAAAATTTAATGTTAGATCAAAAGCTCTTAATTGAGAATTATATTTGCAAAGGCCGTTTTAATAATATTTTTAAAAGTTCTTGGAATCGTTGTTAACAGAAACCTGCAAAAAATATATCATTTTATTCCCAAAATATAAGATATCACACAATGCATATTCATATAATATCATTGTGCTAGAAAAATACTAGGTAGGTACTGAGACAATTTAAAAAAAGTATTTCGAGAAACTCAACTTTTAATGTCATCATTGTACTTAACTTTTTTATTGCTAAATTATTAATAATGTCATTTTGTGTAGTTCGTTGTGATTCGTATAATATATATTATAAAAACCTATCGTCAATGTTAATGGGCCAAGTTTTTTTAATAATTATGTCCTTGTTATAGTAAAAACACATTTAAACACATTTTTAAAGTTTTCTGGATTTCTGCTTTAAATTATCGTACAATTGAACTGACTAATTGTGTGTTTAAGTAAAGGTATATCTCTTTTTTGTTATAACAGTCTGTATATTGTTCTAACTTTTTAGATAATCAGAGAAAACAGTAAGACATCTTAATATATCCTATTTCACCAACAAAAATATAGAATAATTAATCTCACATCAAACGAAAAAAGTCATTTTAGGATGTCTTAATAGGTTTTAACTTAAAAACCAAATAAAATGTATATTGCAACTGTGTTTAAATAAACAAATGTTTTTATACCTGACTATAGCACCAGACAAACATTTTTTTAGATCATAATGATCTGCATAACTCAAAATAGTCAAAATCCACATTATTTAAGTTGTTCTAGTATTGTTTTAGCATAACGATGTAAACTCCAATAATAAATATTCACATTTTTTTGGGACGTTTTTTAAGGAAATTAAAAAAAAACATAAATAATGTGATATTCTTGTTTAGTTTTGTACTATATAATATAGTTCATTAGGTAGTGATTTAGAAGCAAATTATGTTCTATTTATAGAATAAAAAATCACTCATAATATCTAAATATTTATACCTATTTATATTTTGGACAGGAAGACTATTTTATGTTTTTGGCTCTGAATAGTTTTCATAAGAATTTTAAAACATTCCTTAGCTCTTTTGGAATATTCCATGCATATCTTAGAAGTTCATTTTGTTTAAACCTAAAACAAATTAAGTACAAAAAATGAAAATTTAAACAATACACAAAATTAGTTAAAATTAGTTAAAAAAAAGTGTCAACAAAAAAATGGCTATGCCTTTTTCCTTAAACTTAAGTTTCTCTACTTACTTGCTGTTTTAGTATTTTAGTAGCAGATGAATATAGTGTAGAAGTAGTGACAGGATTGATTATTATACTTCTTTCGTCGAAATTGAAGGTTGTTTTAATATTTTCCTCCCCTGAGGTCTTTAATAAAAATGTTCATTAGCATAAAACGTTATTCAGGTGGTCACTTGTTGAATTCTTATATTTTGGAACCATGTATTTCTTTCTCATATCAAGAAAAGGAAACCTAAAAAAATAACAATAAACTTTACAAAGATGTGATATTAAAATAATAATAGGTAATTAACCCTTTACTATAATCATTATGAGACGGATGAAGACGAACTTAGCTGGAGTTTACTTGCTCTTAATTTTAATTTTTCGATAAGAAAATAAGAAAGTTTAATTGCAAATTAAAGGTGATTGCCTAATGCACCGCCTCTGATAATTAGGTTGTGTCTGTACTTACTTATGATATTATCTTGAAGAAGCATTTTCAACAGGCCTTTTACACATAAAGCATGTTTCACCATATTATTAGAGATAATAAATCTTAAATATATATTTACAACCCTTACAACGTTATAAATAATAATATTTTCCGTAAAATACAATACCGAAATTGGCATGTGTCAGAAAGTGTCAGAACTGGCGCTGTCCACGCGCTGTCAAACTTGGCAACGCTGATTAAATAAGCCAATTACAGAAGAGGTATTTTCCCCCTCGGGGGAGTAGATGTTGCTAACAAAATTTAGCGCGGGGAAGGGGGGAAGACTCCCTCTAGTAGTAATTGCTCGGAGGGTCGAGGTGTAGTGATCTCGGTCACGTGACCTGATATTTACTTTTCAATAACCGAATTCGGAATATAATTTAAACAGAGTTTTGCTGAACTTGACGATATTGCTGAAATTTTTGTCCGCAAAAGTCGATGTTAAAAAAAGGATTTTGTAACCTGGGTAAAAGTGGCCTGTTTGTTGAAATAGGTGTAAAGTCGGAACCAAAAGTAGAAAAGAGATATAACTGTTCTCAAAATGTTTGTAGTTTTATCTCATTCACCATAAATTACATCATTTTCACATTATTTTTTTTATAAAAACTCAGAGTTAATAAAGCACATAATAATGATGTATGTATATATTTATAAACACGTTGTATAACACAATGAACTTGGTTTCGTAAACGAATTTTGGGAGAGCTTGTGTCAGTCTTTTGACTGCAATAATTTTTTAAATTATGTTCTATTTCCTATGGAGTTTCGCATTTTTCTTTTGGACATTTCTTTAATAAACTTGTAAGTAAAATAATACACTTTATATCATAATATATTGTATTATTATCCCAGTTTGCACATCCTCGGCTACAGCCTCGGCTGAGGAAAGCTTCTATACTGAAAATAGTTAATGACAGAGGTCATTATTCATATTTTGCACCCAAATTTTACAATATCATACCAGAAGACATTAAAGATTAAAAAAATACAACTCCCTTTAAAGCCAAATTTGTGCAGGCCTAACATAGACAGAAAGTTGCTGGTAAAATTTATATATAAAATCTACAAGCTTATGGATAGGTACTCGTATATGGAGAACTCTCGTAATTCATTAATATTATACATAACATTTCTCCAAAGTTTTACTTTGTTAACTTTTATTAATTTTTTTTTTAATATTACTATATAGGTATATTAAAAAATATATACCGTCACGAAGTCTTAATCAAAAACTTTATTTTATTAATTTTTCTCTAAAGGATAACTTTCTTTGAAATTACTCTTTGCAATTAAGGAACTAATGGATGAATATTTTTTTAAAGTTTTTCAAAGTAAAAAAATCAAAGACATTATGGCTTTGCTAGAAATGGATAAACAAGCGGTCAAAAAAAGTTACTATGAGTTCATATTTCGCACATATCAATTACATTTTTACATTCCTAAAAATATAAATGTAAGGTATGTGATATTTTTCGTGTTCAAATTCAAAACGAAACGAATGCCGTAAAGACTATGCAGATTAAACAAGAGCAAGGCAATTATCATCTTCTTGCTTCTAAAGCTAGAGATTTGTTAAATAGCTACAAACAAATTTCTCTGAGTGATGGCAGTACATTATGTTTAATGGCTTTTGACCTACAACGTACCCTTCCAACCCCACTGGTACAAACTGGAGAAGTTTACTATCTAACACAACTTCAAACTTTTAATTTCTGGACACATCTTTATTTACCAATTGGCGAAAGAATAGTAATGAATATGTGGTATGAAACAACTGGAGGTAGAGGATTGCAAGAAGTAATATCCTGCCTCTATTATAACATGAAAAATATTATACCCGCAAACACAAACACTCTTTATACTATTAGTGATTCATGCTCTGGGTAAAATTGAAATTGGTCTTTTATGATGTATGTAGTGAATTGTTCTAATCCAGCTATAACGGAAATAATCGTTTGTTACCTTGTAAGTGGAGACTCATTTCTACCAAATGACTCCGACTTCTCAGATATTACAAAGGCCCAGAAGAGAAAGGAATTTGTTTATAGTCCAGAGGAATGGATATCACTAATGGAAAATTGCAGGAAACAAATCCATTCATTGTTAATAATATGGTGGGAAAATTTATTGACTTTAAAGATCTCTTAAAAATTATGGGTAAAGGTGGCCAAAGTACTAATGGTAACCGTGTGCTAATCTCAAAGATTCGGAAAAACAAATTTGTGAAAGGTGATAGTAAACTTTACTTTAATAGCGACTTCTCTGATGTTTACGATAGTTTGGAGTCAAACAAATCAGGCAATACCAAAACATTTTTTGAAACATTACATTCGTTTAAACCAACAGAAGTAGAAGATAACGCTAAACCCATAACTCATGCTAAAATGCAGGATATTAAGAAAATGCTAAAGTATGTGCCACCCATTTATCACCAATTTTATCTAAATTTGTACCATATTAACCTAAGTGTTCATGTCATGCAAGAAGAGGACATTAACATTCTGTAAAATCTACTGGGTGATGAAAATCAAGAAGATGAAAATTAAGAAAAATGTTTGTTTAATAATTCATTCAAAAAAAATATTTATTTAGTTTATTTTGTTCGACAATTTTTAAGTTTTTGTCTTAATTTTCTACTAAAATAATAAAGTTGGTACTTCTTGATCGCCAAGTGATCCAATTTCATTTTTTAATTTTTTTTTGTTAAACAACATATTTATATCAAGTATTTATTAAGAGATTAAACTTATGATTACCAATCACGCTTAATACGACTAGCTTGAACATTTTTGTAGGTAAAAATTTAATTTAAAAAAACCTTTTTCTTCATTATCTCAAAACTTAAAATATGCTATTTGGATTACTTCTGTTTCAGTCTAGCCAATTATAAAAAAATGCCCCTTTATATATATTTTAAACACAAGTTTTGTGATGATTTAAGCTGTTTTATAATCATAATTTCTAAAAAAAAATTCTTTAAAATCACACTTGGAATTCGTCACCTTGATGATTTTGAGCCATTTACCAAATACAATAATTATTATTGAATAAATAATCTAGTCAAAATTAGAAAAATACTGTAACACGTTGCGAAAATCTGTTTTGTGTAACTCGTCCATTTTAGGAAATATCTCTCCAATTTACTCGTTGAAAAATTAAGGCATTTCTTAACTGGCTACATAAATAGCTATTAAAGTATAAATTAGGTGGTTTGTTTTTAAATTTTCTCTAATTAAACCAATTTTCTATCTGTACTAACAATTAAGAGGACTGCTTTTTCACATAAATATCGTATTGTGCTAATTAAATTAACTTCTGCAACAAAACTAAGACAGTAGTATAAAATATATACTTCATCGCAGGATACAATCATATTTAATGCATCCATAAAACGATGCAATGCTCTTGTGTAATACAATATTATCCAAGTAAGCTTATAAAATAGAGACTATATTTCAAAGTTAGTAGGACTAATTGAATCGCTGATTGCAGAAAGGGTCATGTCATGTTTTCGCATATTTTGAGATCTTTACGCGAATCGACAGTTCAACCCAAACCTCATCGTTGTGCGCATAAAGGATTCATATTCTGATAAACACCATGTAAAATAATAATTCATTTCAATAACGCTGAGTGCAGAAAAGGTCTAAGTCAATTGACTTGTACCCTTTGTGCAATCAATCGGATCGCAAGGTGGCGCTGCTAGTAAAATATCGGTAGTTGTTATTTTAATTTTCTGTCAGTTAGATTATCTTGTCCAGCCATGGAGTACGTAAATAATTTAAAACGTAAAAAAGGGGTAGTTAACTGCGATGGATATAAAAGGAATATTATTAAAAAATACCGGTAAGTTTTAGTCGTTATAATAAAACATAATCTTTTGAATTTTTTTTTAGTGTTAAAGGCCTAGAATACGTAAATTATAAAGGTAATGTTGTTCCTGCTAAATCTGTTGGAGACCCATGTAACTGCAGGTTCAAATGCTTGGAAAAGATTATTAATGAGCAGCAGCTAGAGGCATACGTCAGTATATAGAAATTATAGCATCTTCCAGCAACAAACATAAATTTCTAATCTATCTTGTGGATGGAAAGGATATAGTGAATTTTAAAGACTGGTGGCCTGGACTTTATAAAAAAAACAGCTATTTCTACTGAAACTTCTCAAAGAGGTACGCCAAGAGATAGAAAAGTTGCGTTTAAATCAGCAATTTTCATCAGTTTTCCTTCTGCAAGAATGATGGGAAAGGTGTAGTACTTGTCAAAGACTACATTAATGGATTCGAGAAACATACATTTTGTCTAGGACTTTCCAATATTGTAGCTGAACCTAAAGTATTTTGTTACCTAACAGGAAAACTTCCCATAAAATTAGATAAAATGGACCACATAAAGAAATCGGCTAAATATGTGAACGACGTTGAAGGAACAAGAATTTTGGGATATTTTTAATTGGCCTATTATAAATTAAAAATCTGTGTTTTGTTAATCCAGTTTTTTCTTACAATCTGTCTTAAGTGTTTTTCGTCAATTACTCCCTCTTTCTTTTTGATTCTTCCAATTGACAACAGAAAGGGCATATGTTAGTCAACTTAAAAGGTCTATAACTTTTTACTGCTTAAAGCAAATATTTTCAATTACCCCTAAAAGGGATAGTGTTTTGATATAGTTTTTACATGCATATTCAGTTTTTTTATAAATAATGCTCCAGTTCGAAAAACAGTTATTTGCATTTATCTCAGAAGTTAAGTTCAGTGACATTTATATCCTTTCTGCAACCAGCGATTCAATTATTTAGAATGACAATTTCGTTTGTCCTAATATTTTTATGTAATTTAACATTATTACGCCCTGTATAATTGCAGCCAAGAAAATTGAAGAGATGAATAATGATTAATTTATAGAGCCTCTAGGGTACCATATATTTGCATTTATCTATATTTAACTTTGAATGAGTCTGTCTAATAGAAATTTAATAATTTAAAGCATAACTACCACAATGTTCTTTAATCTCTCGTGGGAACTTATATTCTCAATCTCACAGGAAATCTTGATAATCTGTGAATACGATTTTATATAAATATGAACAACTGCATTTAGTAGATTTTAGTAACTTTAGCTAGATTATCTGAATTTTTATACAAATGTTAAATTCTTATTTCAAATTTTTAACGGTAGAATTAAATTTAAAAAAGTCAATCAATGTTTTAATTACTAATTTATATTTTTTTGACAGATCAATGGTTAATTATAATTTTAAATAATAAGAAAACTTACAAAGTTGTAATTAAACTTATAAATCTTCTCAACTGCGTAAATTAGACCATTAGAAACGGAACAATAGAAAGGCAGGGTTAATCTTAAATGATTTATGTTACAAAAATACATCTCGTAATCAAGAATTTAAAAATAATAGAGATGGAACATTTGTATTGCGGTTTTTAATAGTTTTTTTTTTTGCAAAAAAGAATTTAGCTAGGTACTGTGAACTGTGATTGATGGATTTCGTAATATAATATATATGTATAGAATATTATGGGGTCTATTCTGTAACAATTCCTTTATATTTAACGGCCTTTAAAAATATTGGCGGCCTATAAAAATATGTTCGTATTCGTTAATTTACTTCTATCATTATTTAAACAGATTTCTTTAAGATAGTCCTCTAATGTATTTTAAAGATCCGTTTAAATAGTGACCGAATTAAAGAAGAAAATATTTTTAAAGGCCGTTAAATATAAAGGAATTTTTACAGAATAGACCCCATAATCTGTTCGGTTGACTGATATTGCCTATTATCCACTATTATTGAGTGGACCGTAGAAAATACTCATGATGCTATTAAAAAGAAGGTATGATATTAGATTTAGTTAGGTCTGTGGTCCAAGTGGCCTCCTCCACATCGACCTTTTCAGATCTATTGTGGATATCCTTTGAGACCAATTCTCACTAGGCGCTCAGGTCACACTACGCTCACGATCCGCTCACGCTCACGTTCATTTTACAGATATAAGGAAAGTATAGGAATCATGATTGTTTTCGACCTCAAGTTTTCGACGGATTTTTACGGTTTGGGGTCCCCTAAATCCGTTTTGACTATTTTCGGGTTGATGTCTGTTTGTGTTGTGTATGTGTGTGTTGTGTGTGTTGTGCGTGTGTTGTGTTTGTATGTGTGTTTGTGTGTTTGGGTTTGTGTGTTTGGGTTTGTGTGTTTGGGTTTGTGTGTTTGTGTTTGTGTTTGTGTTTGTGTTTGTGTGTGTGTGTGTGTGTGTGTGTGTGTGTGTGTGTGTGTGTGTGTGTGTCTGTGTGTGTGTCTGTGTGTGTGTCTGTGTGTGTGAGTCTGTGTCTGTGTGTGTGTCTGTGTGTGTGTCTGTGTGTGTGTGTGTATCTGTATTCACCATAACTAATGAACCGATACAAAGAAAAACACCAAATTTTAAACGTCAGCTTAATTCCGGCCTGCGGTAAACTGATTAGATTTTGGGCAGAGTCGGAACATCTGGGGGGAGTGGTCATTTTTTTATTTTATGGAATATATGTTATTTACGTTTGGAGAAGAAAATTGTTCAAATAAAAGTTACTTTTAATATTATTATCTATAATTTTTCTTTTATGTAAAATTTTCCTATTCGAGAAATTTGACAAAATGTGCAAAATTCTGATTTTTAAGAAAATTGTTAAACTAAAAGTTGTTTGCGAGATCGATTTCTATAATTTTTGTTTTTACATGATTTTTCTAAAATGGACCGTAATGGAAAAATAGGAGGAAAAGTGCTAAATTTAAATTTTTCAGCATTTTCGTTTTCAATGAATATATATAGAAAAATTTTACGAGTTAGATGTATGTGGAAAATGTATACAGGGTGTTTCCGAACTTGGCGTCCAAATTTGTAGGGGTGGTAGTTCGCATAATTTGAGAGCGATTGGCAATTTCATTTTTCTAAAAAAATTATAATAAACTGCAAAAAAGAGCAATACGCTATGTATTTGGTTTAAGTAGTAGGACACATTGCGAAAATTACTTCAAAAATTTCAAAATTCTAACCCTTCCTGCTCTATTTATTTTCGAATCCGTCTGCTTAGTTCGCAAGCACATTCAAAATTTATCCGAAAGACCGACTCGTAGATATCCTACAAGAACTTTAGAGACTGATGTTTATTTAATAATGCCCACTTCTGACCTATTAAAACATTCCATTACCTACAATGCCAAAAAATTGTATAATAACCTTCCGATGCAATTAAAATCTATAAATACATACGATAAGTTCCGAAGACTGGCTAAAGCTTTTCTTCTAGAAAGACCATATTACCGTTGTATGATGATTATATAGTAGGGTAACCTTATGGACTTATCATTGGAGGACGATGGATATAGAATGTAGATGGCGACACTGTACTTATATCCAAGTCAGGTCTTTAGGTCATGTCTGTGCTTGAGTATGAATTATAATTTAAAATCTTCTTTTTCATTTTTAGTTGTCTTCGGTAAAGTATTTTTATAGTTACAATTTACTATTGCAAATTATTACAAAAGGGTATTTGAAGGTCACATAAAATGCCAAAATAATCAATAGGTATAATAAAATAAACCAGTTTTGCCAAATGCGTAAATTCCGTAAATGCAACCTTTTATCGTTTAGTGCGTATAAAAATTTGTGTTTAATACTTTTTTTCTGGTGCAGATTTTTAGCCACTTTGAGCTTCTGATTTTTGATCGTGTGTCTTGTTATATGTTTTTTGGTTGTTTTAATATTCGTTTTATTTTGTGACATTATTTAGACACTTTTTTATATTTTTTTTGTTTTGTGTGTGCTTGTATAAACACTTGAACATTGTGTTATTTTTTTATATTTAAGTCTTCTATTTTCTATTCAAGGACATAAAAGGTAAGCATACAAACCCTAGCATGTTTTAAATTAGTTAAATAATTTATTGAACAGTACCTAACTAGTATAATTTAAAATGAAATTGGAGAACAGTTGATTTTTTCAGTCTGGTGATTGGAGAAAATTAAATGATTATTCCAATATTAAAGGGGTTACAGATTAGTTTTATGATAAGGTCCCAATTTTTTTACACTGAAAAATACAACGTATAACTAAATGAAATATTTTATTAATTCACACAAAAATACACTAATTATGCTTAGGTACATCCCTTTTAATTATTTAAATGAGTATTATTCCATTGAATTATTATTTTCAATATACAGTGGGACAATTTAAAAACTTACAGTGGAGGACTATATCTCACAAACGAAATATGATATTAAAAAATTCTTAAAACCTTTTCTATGATAGGAAGGAGGGAACTAAAATAATAAAACATAACTCACCCCTATCAACCTCCTAGGCCCCACCTATCCCAACTAACCAGTTTAAATAAACCCCTACTTTTGATACAATGTTAAAAAACTCTAAAGGTCAATAAAACTTTATTTTCAATGATGTGTCCCTAGGAATTAAATATTAATCCCAATGCATAGGTAGGATTCCCCACTCGACCATTCACTGTTGGGTTCTAATTAACAGTGCTGTTCCTAAAGTGGCGCTGGGAAACGGTAACAAAGCCTACACAGAACATGAGGCTAATGGCCTTAGTAGTCAACGCCGATGACACCAAATTCAAAAAAAAAGTGTCCATAGGTACTTTTAGTTGTTCAATAAAAACTTTAATATATAGCCCATTATAAGTTTTTTAAATTGTCACATCCTATAATTTTTTAACAATAATTGGAAATTTAGTAGCAAGAAATATCGACGTCATACAGATATTAACAGATTAGTTTTAAAATATTGAAAATGAGTACAGGCAGAAGGATATTTTTTTCGAGGAATGACAGATCCTACAAAAGGAGCGAGGCGATTGGTCACCTTACTTAAGACTGATATAAATAAGGATTTCAGTCCTAATACTAATCCATTTAATTCCTATATTTGAAATCAGTAGCCTACCTCTGTGTCATGTGGAAAGAAACATGTAGATTACTATGATGCATTTTTGGTAATCTATGTCAGTGTCGCCTAAGATTTA